TTAGAGTGTAGTGTTATTACTTTTGGGAATTAAGTCTTCCTTGTTTGCTTTTGTGACATGTTTATTTATTTGTATGACTAGATAAACAATTCCTCTCTGGTTCCAAGCAGGTGTTTTGTGGCACCAGCATTCTTGAGGGAACGTATTAAATTAAGATATCTGTTGTGGTTTGTGTACTGACGAGGAACCAGTAAATAATGCCATCCACCATCAGTCATTGCCCTGAAACCAGTGTGCAAGCATATTTCAGCTCTGCGACTCTGGCTGCTCAGTCTGTCAGTGTCCTTATCTGAAAAAAAAAAGGTCTCCACGCACCCTCCATTCAAACTGGAGGCCAAAACATGGAGCTGGTCCATAATGTTTGGTTATTAGAAAAGCTGGTTCAGGCTTGTATTCACCTGTCAAAAGTGGGCTGAAGCGTTTAAATCATCAGCCGTATGCAGAGGAAGATAATGTAGAAGTTCAGAGACTGCCGACCAAATTATTTCAGAGGATTAGCTTCCCGACTGTCATCTTTGCCTTGCTCAGCCTGGCATTCAGGCTTGCTGACTCTCTGGACAAACAGCAACCTCTGACTTTTTTCTCACAGCATCAAAAAGCAAATAAAAAATATATGCATCTTCTGACTGATGGAAATAATAAGCAAATACTTGCTGACTTCAATATGATGGATGATGATGAAGTGGGGAATTTGTTAATATTTTCTTACATGGATATGTTTGTACTATGCGAGCCTCAGACCATGCATATGCGCAAATGATGAAGGCTGTCCTAGAAAATATAAACACACACCATTTTCCATAACAAAAATGTCTTTAAACAGTAGGTCATAGAAATAATTTTTTGTCATATTTGCTGAAACTTTCACTATATCCTGACAGTAGAACACGAGACAGATAATCTGTGAAACAATCAGGTTCCTCAGGCTCCTCCTAGTGCTCCTGATGGTATTTAGAAGAATCCACCAAGCCTGAACGAAAACAACCAATCAACCAAGAGAAAAATTACCTACTGCAGCTTTAAAGAGCAGCTTTCTTAATCATAACTAGCTGCTTATTTATCCTCCACATTGACATGAGTTTGTGCAGGACAAACGTCATTATTCTGTTTCAGGACTTTAACAATGATGCTGATATGAAGTGAATAAAAAAGCCTTTTTGTGTAGGTGACTGGACAAGCCAATCTTGAAGGCTGCCCCTGTGTAGCTGCTTTTATATATTCAGAAGAATGAAAATAAGAGAGAATAAAAACACACTACATTTTATCAATTCGATTAGAAGACACAATAAATTGCACATCTATTACTTTCTAGCATGAAATTTAAGGCACTGAGTGTGGAAATGGAGTCTTACATGTTTTGTAGACCTCGTTGACGCTGTTGAAGTCGTTTATATCGGCGAGCAGCACAGTCGTCTTCACCACTGAAATCAAAGAGTTAGTTTAACATTAAAATCATATAAAACAGTTAAGCAGCAGCCGAGTCACTGAACAGCCTGATACTACCGATATCTCACCGTTTGTGTAGTCACAGCCAGCAGCTTTAAGGATCTCCCCCATATTGATGAGAGCCTGAGGGATGAGAGGAAGGAAGGACATTGTGATACCCCGTAGATCAATATTTCATCTCACCTTTAACGTTTATATGCATTATCAGATTTTTAGATTTAATAGCCACTCAGAAAAGGAGTGGGAAACATCCCTATTGATTCCCTGTTTCATTTGATGTTTTTATTATACATAAGTTGCGTTCCTATTGCTGAGACTGGTTTAGTTTTTATCTTTGATCTTTGTCAATTTTTATTTTCTGTGGTAGTGAAGCAGAAAAAGTAATGAAAACTGATGCTTGAAATCTGAACTGAGAAGTAAGAATGAATCTTAACTGTAAGTCAATCCAGAGAGAAACAGTTTGAGCTTCTGTACAAAATATTAAAGAAACACAGTGATATAATCAGTAGCACTGCTCTACACTCTTGGTCTACAGCTGTGTATAATTAAAACATTCAGTGAGGGGTTGATTTATCTGTGGAAGTCAAAAGCATGTGGCACCGACTGTGCTGATGATAATCTTAAATGTAAACTATTAAAAGAAATGTCACACGGATCACTGAAACAGAGTAAAGGTGAGGCACGGTGGCTCTATAAAAGCCCTCTTGGCCAGTAGAAATAAACGGCAGTTGTCACAGTAAGTGTCCCATCATCATCATCATCATCAGTCCCTGTGAGCCTCACCTGTTTGGCCTGGGCCTTCACACCTCCATCTACCAGCTGACCAGAAGCCACGTCCAACCCCAGCTGACCAGAGATGTACATCGTTCTGTCCACAACCACCGACTGGCTGAGGATGAGACAGAGGACGGAGACACACACACACACACAACTTAGACTGGGACATTTAATTCCATGTAAGAGAGAAAAAAAAAACAGACTAAAATACATTTGAGAAAATCTGCTGATCTTCTTTTTAAAGAATAATCTAGATTAAATATAATGTCATTCTGTCATGTTGTAATTTACATTTACCTACTGTCTTAAATTTACTACAGATACTTATCCATCACTGTTTGAAATCTTATTTTTCTCACTTATAAATGAGCGTTCAGCATGTAGAACATTAGAAGAAGCTGCACCAAACTGCACGTAAATTGCATTTGCACTTAAAATATATCAGTGACATTATCAGTAATAGTTCACTAACTTTCTCCTCTTCTGTTTTGTTCCAGGACTTTTTCCTTTAACCCAAATAAGATAAATCAAAGGCCATTCATACACAGTAAACTCCACCCACTGACAGACAATTGGTCGGAGCAGAAACACCCCTCAACTTCTTGAACTGTACAGAATTAATTAAACAAGTAGAAAACATACCAAGATACTCCTTTTTTTCAAAATTTCTTTCATATTTTATGATCACTTGTGTTAATATTTATCAAGTACATTTGAAAAACCCCAAAAAACCCAAACCAACCATATGTCTATCTTCAGTCCAGAGTATTTCCCCAGGACATTAACCCTTACCTGTATATTCCCTGTCTGACAGGGGCTTTTGGTGTGTAGGGGATTTGTCGACGAATAGTTGCCATTTCTAGTCTGCCAGTTGGAGATCTCTCCTGTACAGCTGCTCCTTCTGCTCTGCTAAAAGTTCAACTTTGGCACTTTTATTTACGGAGGTCAAGACAAGTAGTCGAGTTCATTGCACACTAAGACCCGCCCCTGATCAAATATTGGACTGTCCCTGTGTTTCCCATTCATTCAAACATTTCATATACCTGCTTCTGCAAACCCCACGTGTCGCTATAAATAGAAACTGGTGCATATTAAAGTTTTTTTTTTAAAGTTTCCTCACCTGTACGGGCCAATGGCAGCCGGGGCCGAAGTGGTGTTAACGATCTTTCTGTTCACTGCAGACATGTTTTCTTGATTGTTTATGAGTGAAGGAAGTGGTTGTGCAACTACTTGTGGAGAGAGGAACAGTTGTTTCCGTAAAGTCTACCGTAATGTCTGTCACCGTGCGCACGCAGCATTGTTGGAGCTGGAGCTCGTCAGGCTTTCAGCGACAGAAAGAAAACCTCCTGCGACTGTAGTGGAGGAGTTACGGTACGACAGGTGTCCTGAGGGTCTTTCGTGATGGTTTTTACTGCAACACAGAGGTTCAAGTCTCCTTTTATACAGTCCCAGATAAGATAAAGGCATTGCACTGCAGTGATGGTTAACTATAAGTAACTTTTATTATTTCTTGCACCTTTTCAAAACCTTTATAAAGTATTACAAACAAAAGATAATAAATTAAGTGGTTCAAACATAAATGCTTACATTCCACTCTACACCCTCAAGTTATAATATAGCAGAAATAAAGTGAAATAAATCATATAGCTATATATCAAAAAGGGATTAATATATATATATATATATATATTATGGCAGATTCTCCGCAATGTCATATTTCAAACGGGGCTTTTTATTGTACAGAGCAAAACTTTGTTGTTAAAGCTGCGAATCCAGCTTCCATATTAACAGTACTCTTACCTGTGCAGTTAATACAATAGCATTCCACTAAATAGCAAACATAATTATAAACATGCATAGTCTAAAACACGCAGAAATCAAGCCACGTATATATCTGACAAAGGGCAAAAATATTAACAGCCAAGTCAGCCACCATATTTAAACCAGTGTCATCAAAAAGAACACGTTTTAAACACATTAAATAAATAAAAGTGTGAATGCTTGTATGTAAGTTGCTAATGCACTACAGACTTAATTTATGGAAATAATTCATGGCAAGAATGTTAATGATTTCAGGTTCACCCGCATGCAGGAGGGGGAAAAAATTTAAACAAAAAAAACAAATAGAAACAGATGTGATCATTCAAAAGCTGTGATAGTACTGATTGACATTTGGTCAGGTGTTTGAAACATCAGTTCATTTTGGCCTCATTGTCCAACAGATGAGATAAAAGACAGTGTAACAGGCCTATTTATAAGATTATAGTATCATTAAAATGACTGATTAATATGCAGCAAGTGTGGGCTGAACCACCCCACGAAGACTGCATATTAACATTCATATGTAACAGCATCCGGCAGACATATTTAACATGTATTTAAAGACACAGTTCATTCAAAGGGTCATTATTAGCACGATGTGTAAAATCAATATGCAGAATAAATAAACTACATCCACAACAGAGTAGTTTGTTTCCTTCATGAAGTGATCAAATCTGTTTGTTTTTTTTCAGATTAACATTCAAAATGGTGGAATAAAGCCAGATATAGTGGATTTTTTTGAGGACAGTACAGTTCTTAATATTTCAGAGCTGAGAACATGATAATAGCCAATATTTATGAACCGTTGTTTGAACAGCTTTGTGTAAATACAGTTTTTAGTAGTTAAAATTTTGTGTCCCAACAAATACACAGCGTGGAATGACAGTACATATTCATTCCTTCATTTATGTCACACATACAGGTCAGAAAACTGGAAAATTAAAAAACAGCATGTTTTCACACATAATTGCTGAAACAGATGGAAATATGTTGACAGAAATCTTAATGCATTTTCAAATATTTATTCTGAAATCCAGACATCAGATGTTAGATGTGTAGCTCTTATTATTAGTATATAGTATCAGTCAGTCAGTGTTTTATCTCAACTTGATGTTTTTTCTTGGACTACAACCATTAAACAGTTTATATGACTAGTTGTTGTAGTTCGTTCTCTCACTTATTCACCTTCACTGAGCACCGAACTGTTATCGTGTTGTCCACTGCTTTGATGTTTCATACTGGAATCAGAGGTTATCAATCATAATGTTGAACAGTTATAGAAAACATAATAGACAGTTGAAATAAATTTACAGGGGTTTTAAAGACTCCAGGAACATACAAATAAAAGACAGTATTTAGGAATGCTTCTTCTTGTATGGAATTGTTTTTAAACTTAGGAATGAACTAACTCTGGTTTGAGTATGGTGGAAAAGTTTGCCAAGTAAAAGCTCTGATTTTAAATTCGTGAGGAGTGTTGGGTAAGTGTGTGCTCAGAAAGCGATGTAGAACTGGGACAGGTGTGTTATGAGTATGGGACAATAGGACGCATGGAGCTCAGAACATAATACTTGAACTCAACAAAATAAAATTAAGACTAATGAAATAAGTTTAGATGATCCACCAACGATTGAAAACGTGCATGATCTGTTCACAATCCACATGATTTCCATAATTTCTGTCCATTCTTGCAGCTTTCTACAATCCACTTCCAACTCATCTCCAAGTGAGGAAATGGATTTAACCATCTGACGACTTGGGTGTTTTCTTTTTTATTACATTGCTTATTTTGAAAACCAGGTTTCAAATATTTTAAGGCATTCTCAACTTAATCAACATCCTCTTGATTGTCTTTGGTCATGGACAAGCCTCCACAGCTTTTTGTTGCAGGTATTTCCAAACTAGGCTCTATATTATATTTACACTGAAAGTGAAAAGTCTGAGGAAAAAAAGACCCTTTGTCATTGACCACGGTGATGATACTGCTGCTACTGCCAGAGGATAGGCTTCCTTATGGGTTTTCTTTGTGACATGAAATGTAATTTCATCCGGAAAAGGGGAAATGCATTTTGTGACTTTCAGATGTATAATCACCAAGCGTTAGTTCTCTCTTTGGCTGCAGTCCTGAGCATCATTCACAGGAAAGTAACTGTACAGGAACTGTAGAAACAAATAAGATTTAAAATGGAGAAACAGCATCTAGACATAGTGTAGCAACAAGGCAGACGAGTGTAGATTCCAGGAGCCAAAATGGATGCCACCCAGTAAAGGAAGCAAACTTCCTTCAGAGGCCAGTTAGCAGTCAGTCTGAACAGCAGTGGGCTTCGAACAAAGACAATAAGGTCAACTTAGTTCCTCTGAGTCAATGGGACAGAGGTTTTGTGGTGACAGTGGCTTTAGGAAACCGAGACCGGAGGGAGAAGGCGACGTGTAGGAGAGCTCAGAAGTTCTGTTGCCGTCTCTTCTTGGCATCCATGGCATCCAGGATGGGCTGCCTTTTGGCGGTGTAGCGCTGCCTGAGCTCCTCGATCTCGCGCTCCATCATGGGATCCAAGGCACTCAGGCGCATCTGCAGCTCCTCGAAGTCCAGGTTCTTCAGCTGGGTGACAGCACACAAATAGAAACACAGACAAACAACAAAAGGGAATTTATGAGTCACATTTAGTGTCTCGTTGCGGGATAGCTTCCCTTTTGCTATTTCTACCACTGAAGCACTGATGTATATTCATTCAGGTCAAACCCTAATAATTGCAGCAGTGCCATCACATGCTCGTGGAAGATGTTACTCACAAAGTCAAAGTCTCCGTCCTGAGGTACCTTCCAGTTGTCAGGGAAGACGTTCTTGGACTGGATGTGGTAGCCGGGCTGCTCCTGCGGCTGGTTGTGGTTGTAGTTCTCCTGCTGCTGGGCTGCCTTGTTGGAGTCTTGCTTGTCAAAATAGTCCATGAAGGACGGACGTATCGGCTGCTGGGGGGTGGCGTGCCCTGTGGACGAGGAAGAGGGTCGTGTTTCCACTCTATCACTCAACCTATCACAGTAACATTACTTAAACAGCGTTCTGAATCAGTTCCCCGTTTGCAGTATTATCTCTTTTCTTCACATAACTGAGTTACCATCATCGCTAACTCACTTCTCATGGATCCCTGGTCTTCCTCCTCCTCATCATCATCATCACTGTTGATGACCATAGTGCCAAGGTCAGACTCTAGCATTGTGCTGCCGTGTTCAATCATGGTCTGCGCCCCGTCACTCATGGTGCTGGTGGCCCTCATGGTTCCTGCACCCTCTGAACCCGACTTCACCATAGTGTGAGAGTCCACCTCGGTCTCCTCCTCCTGGACGACACGAGACATTTAGTCATACAGCCTCGACGTATAGTAGTCTAGTCAAATGTGGTGGTTGCTTTAACACAAACGTTATTTCAGCATACGTACAGAGTTGTCGTCCTCCTCCTCCAGCTCTCTCTGCTGCTCCTGCTGCCTCTTGGCTTTCATCTCCATGGCCTCAGTTATCAGATCTCTCAGGATTGTGACCGGCTTGGCCTGGCTGATGAATGGGTGCTGAACATTCACAAGGACAAAAATACACACAGTGTCAACAGAGGTGGTGCATCTATGTGATTTTGTCCACATGGGGTGTTTATGTTGTTGCTCTTAAAAGTTTCTATCTGTATGAGTGCGTGTTGCTCCTTTCTCCAACCTGTAGGAGCTGTGTGGCGGTCGCTCTCTGCTCTGGATTCTTGACCAGACACTTCTTGACAAAGTCTGTGAAGTCGTCTGACCAAAGCTCCGGCTTCCTGAATGTTGGAGGGGGGTTGGTGGGGATCATGAAGATAGCCTGGGAAAACACAAAGAGGTTTTAAAAAGTCAGAGAAAGAAAAGAACAACAAAAGACGCCATCTCTGCTGTCGGTTCTTCAGGTACCTCAAATCCAAACTTTCCACTAACCCCTGCGTCAGAGCTAAGGGGTTCAGGTCTCAGCACCCACTTCTTTAACAAACCATGTTTACACTCACTCTCATGGGATGGATGTCAGCGTAGGGAGGTTTGCCCTCTGCCATCTCTATGGATGTGATGCCCAGAGACCAGATGTCAGCCACACAGTTGTAGCCGATCTCCTGGATCACCTCTGGGGCCATCCAGAACGGAGTACCAATCACCGTGTTTCTCTTTGCCATGGTGTCCTTCAGAGAAAATAACAATGCTAGTGTCATCAATATGAAGTTTGCGAAACAGTTCATATGAATCCACTAAATCAGAAGAACTTTGTACATTCCAAGAGGAAGTTTGACTTTGCCATCATTAGGACGACCCGTCAAACAACTGCATTAAAGTTACCGTTAGTTGTCCAGCAACTCCAAAGTCGGCCAGTTTAGCGTGTCCCTCTGTGTTGAGGAGGATGTTTCCTGCCTTGATGTCCCGATGGATCTTCCTCATGAAGTGAAGGTATTCAAGCCCCTTTAGTGTCGACTTCAGGATAGTGGCAATCTCATCCTCTGTCAACTGATGTGAGAAGGAAAAAGAAAACACAGGGATGAAATGAGATCCAAGAGTATATTTGGTTTCAAACCTCTCCTGCACATTGTTATATTTCCTTAAAATTATATTGTTACATTTATTGTGTATGTGCAAATAATAAAATAATAAAGTATATGAAGAAATTAGACTGTAATGCAGGTATGTAACGCAAGTAGGGCTGACGTGAATGCTTGGATGCTTGAACCATTGCCATTGATGTCTAACTCTGTATTCAAATTCTTTTTCCAGGGTGTTTTAGACATGGACTTCTACTAGCATGGACCAGGTAATGTATTCTCTACCACCTTGGTTTTGATTAATAGGCAACATCATTAACAACAAGCCATTTCCACACGTAGCTCATGAGTTGTTTTTTCGGCGACTTTAGAAAGCAGTGCTGAAGGATGGGGGAAGCCAGTGTGTGCGCAGAGCGGACACACTCCAGTGAGATTAATCCAAAGATTAGAATAGCTTCAGTGAGGTCATTCTCACTGAAGCTTTGAAGCCAAAAAAATGGTATTCGGGACAACCGAAAACACAATTACGACTTATTTTTTCATGTAGCCAGTGGTTTTGCCAGTTAAGTCACAGACATAGTCAACTGGGCCCCTTTTCCTCCTTCTGCCAGTTTAATGAGGCTTGCAAAGTATAAAATTTGCTCATCCTTTCAGCTTTTTATTTGCACTACTGTTAAAAAAAAAAGACGGTAGGCAGAATTAGTAAAAGCTGTATGAAAGCCAGGTTAGTCATCAGCCAGTGAGGCATTATCCCCATCATAGGTATTAAAAAGCAATGTCTTGTTAATGTCAGTGTCAAACTG